AGCGGTTAGTACAACTTGTTACTTGATTAACCGCGGACCACATACAGGCATTCAGTGCAAGACACCTGTGGAGATGTGGTCAGGAAAAGCTGGTGATTATTCAAATCTGAAAGCTTTTGGTTGTACAGCTTACTATCATGTCAGTGAAGGTAAGCTAGAACCACGAGCTAAAAAGGGAGTTTTTGTGGGCTACGGAGATGGAGTGAAAGGTTTTAGAATCTGGTCTCCAGCAAAAAAGAGGGTTATTCTGAGTAGAAACGTTGTCTTTAATGAAAGTTCTCTGCTTAGAACCATCGTGAAGCCAACAACTACGACAGAAACTAAGAGTCTTGATAAACAGGTGGAGCTTCAAGTCACTCAGAACGAGAGTGATATGAAAGAACCTGAAGAGGAGAATCAAGAGCCACAGACAGAAACTGATTTTTCAGAATCTATGCCATCAGATACCCATCGTAGTATAGCTCAAGATCGACCAAGAAGGGTTGGAGTTCGGCCACCTATGAGGTATGGTTTTGAGGACATGGTGGGTTATGCACTGCAGGTTGCTGAAGAGGTAGATACCTCTGAACCATCTACTTACAGAGAAGCTGTTTTAAGTCCTGATTCTGAAAAATGGCTAGCCGCTATGGGAGATGAGATGAAGTCCTTGCATAAGAATCAAACATGGGATCTTGTCATACAGCCTCCAGGGAGAAAGATTATTACTTGCAAATGAGTTTTCAAAAGGAAGGAAGGAATGTCACCAGCAGAAGGGGTCAAGTATAAAGCTAGGGTAGTTGCGAGAGGCTTCAACCAAAGAGAGGGAGTGGACTACAATGAGATCTTCTCACCTGTGGTCAGACACACTTCCATCCGCGTGTTACTAGCGATAGTTGCACATCAAAATCTGGAGCTCGAACAACTTGATGTGAAGACAACATTTCTACATGGAGAGTTGGAGGAAGAAATATACATGACTCAGCCGGATGGTTTCCAAGTTCCAGGAAAGGAAAGTCACGTTTGCAAGTTGAAGAAGTCCTTATACGGACTTAAGCAGTCCCCAAGGCAGTGGTACACAAATTTTGACAGCTATATGGTGAAGTTGGGCTACACTCGAAGCTCATATGATTGTTGTGTCTACTACAATAGGCTCAAAGATGATTCAATCATCTACCTGTTGCTTTATGTAGATGATATGCTGATAGCTGCAAAGCAGAAGTATGACGTCCAGAAGCTGAAGGGTTTACTTAGTGCTGAGTTTGAGATGAAAGATCTGGGAGCCGCTCGGAAGATTTTAGGGATGGAGATCATTAGAGACAGAGAGAAAAGGAAACTTTTCTTGTCACAAAGAGGTTACATTCAGAAGATCTTGACGAGGTTTGGCATGTCTTCATCTAAGCCTATTGACACTCCCAGCGCTACCAATATCCATCTCACTGCCATGTTCGCTCCACAGTCAGAAGAAGAGAAGGAATATATGTCACGAGTCCCTTATGCTAGTGCTGTGGGGCCAGACTTAGCACATGCAGTGAGTGTAGTTAGCAGATTCATGGGACAACCAGGGAGAGAACACTGGCAGGCTGTGAAGAGGATTTCCCGGTACCTTAGGGGTACATCTGACGTTGGTCTCATTTATGGAGGTGATACATAGTGTTTGGTTACAGGATTTTCTAATTCTGACTATGCTGGAGATGTTGACACGAGGAGATCGATGACCGGCTATGTATTTACTCTTGGAGGTTCTGTTGTTAGCTGGAAGGCAGTTTTGCAACCTACACTGACTTTGTCAACTACGGAAGCAGAGTACATAGCTTTGACAGAAGCTGCAAAGGAGGGAATCTGGTTGAAAGGGCTGGTTAGTGATCTTGGTCTACATCATGATAAGGCTACAGTGTATTGTGACAGTTTGAGCGCGATTTGTCTAGCCAAGGATCAATTCCATCATGAAAGAACCAAGCATATCGACGTGAGGTATCATTTCCTAAGGAATGAGAGGAGAATCCAGGTGAAGAAAGTAGGAACTGCTGATAATCCTGCTGATATGTTCACAAAGCCGGTTCCGCAAAGCAAGTTTCAACACTGTTTGGACTTGCTTAACATCAGAAGCTGTTAGTTGTCCTGCGGGGCTATTCTGAGGAAGAGGGGGAGATCTGGCACAACCATAGTGCGTCTGAAGAATCTCTATGGAGAATTCAAGTCAAGGTGGAGATTTGTTGTAATGCCTTGAATTTGATCCGTTACAGCTCCAAATTCGGAGAAGTCCAACTTTTGAGAAATCCGGATCCGGAGAAGTCTGGCTTCTGAGAAATCCGTTTTCCGGAGAAGTCGAGAAATCCGAATTCCGAGAAATCCGAATCCTACTCTAATTGGGCTTTATAATCATCTGTTAATTATGTAGTTTTGGGCCCAAGTCTGTTAGGGTTTAACCAATCACTATTTATATGGGTGCTACCATAAATCCTATGTGTGGTATTCTGTATTCTGTATTCTGTTCTTGCCTCTCCATCCGAAATAAAACTGCTCCCCCTCTTCCCCGTGGACTAGCCAACACAATGTTGGTGAACCACGTTAAATCTGTTGTCGTGTTCTTTTCTCGTTCATATTTGTTATTNTTGGGCCCAAGTCTGTTAGGGTTTAACCAATCACTATTTATATGGGTGCTACCATAAATCCTATGTGTGGTATTCTGTATTCTGTATTCTGTTCTTGCCTCTCCATCCGAAATAAAACTGCTCCCCCTCTTCCCCGTGGACTAGCCAACACAATGTTGGTGAACCACGTTAAATCTGTTGTCGTGTTCTTTTCTCGTTCATATTTGTTATTCTCGATTTCCGCATAACAATACAAATTTTGTTACTCTGCACCCTCAGAAGCCTATGGTGGTAATTAAGCAGACACTAGTTTTTACCATCACATGAAATAATGCGCGATATTCAAATACTCTCTCCTTCCTGAAAAAATCTACTCCCCGTCCCAAAAAGGTCTTAATGCTGTTTACCATGTTTGACTTGAGTTCTTTTGTAGTTGGTTTATTTGAAAATTAGTGTAAAATTAAAAATAAAATTTATATACCCCGAGTATTTCAAAAATACATTACAATTTCTTCAAAGAAGAGGTGACACGAGTACTGAAATAGACAAAGAAAGTGGAAAAGTTTGACCATGTACATAGTGAAGGGAACTTCATTTTGGGAGGGCGGGAGGACCTTTTTAGGTTTATGATATTTTGTCAACATTATTTTCAGCCCAATGTATTTAAAACATGGTGCAGAAATAGACATAAATTTATAAAAAAAAACTACATCAAAAGTTACAAAATAAGAGGTGACTTGGCTATTTAATTTTTTTCAAATAGTCATTGAAAATACGTAAAGAAAGAAGATATATTTTGACCACGCCAATATGAACTTAGGAGATTTTTGTGGGATATAGGTAGTATGAGTACATGGCCCGAGAGAAATCGTGATGTTTTTTTATCTCAGAAAAAGCCCATATACTCTTGAGTGGGATATACGGTTTTGTTTTGTTTGGTTTGGTTTCAAATATGAGGGCATCTGTGTGTAGAAGTGTAAAGATTTTCAAATTTAGATATTCTGTTACTGCACATAAATGGCACATTGTGTGGTAGAATACTGTTGAGGTAAGAGCAATCAAACTGCAATGAGGGATTCCCTAACCAGCGCCAAAATGGCATGAAGTCTTGGTGTTTGGAGCTAAATATGCTCCAACCCGTGTTTTTTTGGTTTTAATTTAGGAAGTTTCTTGAACTCAACGTTAAAGAAAGAGATAGGCGCTATGTGGGCAATGGAGGATTGCCTCGGGCCTAGAACGCCAAGGTGCCCTCTAAGCGATATCAAGGTGGACACCTAGACAGTGCCTAAAAATAGGCTAAGCATATACTCTCTATGTTCTCAAATTAAATTCACAGTTTTCTTTTTTGTCTGTTTCAAAATAAAATCCATATTTCTCCACTTTCTTTTCAAGAATGAAATATGTGGCTCATAACAACTCTCTCTCTCTCTCTCAAACAAATTGTAACCTCACTTTTTACTTTTCACCACTTTTTCTTAAACTTCATCATTGACTTATCATTAAAAAAATGCTCAAGTAAAAAAATGTCATTCTAGCTAGATTTAAAAAAATTGAAATTATAAAGGGATCTACCTAGGCCGTCTGGGCCCGCTCTAAGACTGCCTAGCCTAGGCCGACTTTTGAGCCGCCTAGGCTAAAATTGGGGTAGTTAGGCACCACGTATCTTGCCTTATGGAACACTGCTTCAATTGTTCAAATATAATATATTTAAGAATAAAACATACTTTCTCGGTTCCTAATTAAAGTTCTTGGTTTGGATTGAAGCAGATATTAAGAAAATGAAATTGTGTAATTGAAATTTACTATTTAGAAATGAATGAAAGAATATGAACCACACATTCTTTTGTTTAAAAGAAACATGAAAACAGTATGGACACAGGCCAAAAATGAATGTAAACAAGGAGTAATACACTTTAAGTTTAAAATACTCCATAATAAATTAAAAGTAACTAAAATACAACATAAAGAGAATGGTGATAAAAAAATGTGAAAAAACTTTATGATATGATGTTTACACTATTTTGGTGTGAAAATGGTGGTTTGAGTTGGAGGTGGTCTTAGAGGTATGCAGATGGATTTTGACTGTTGCACATTGTTTTTTTGCAACAGCGATTTGTATTTGGAGTGGTTGCTTGCTGTTTCATATGCAGGAGGAGTTACTGCTCCACTCAATTATCGCTGGGTAAGTAGGCGAACAATGATATATGAATTGTGTTAAATTTTATCCAGTTCTACACTATCAAGGTTTTGTTCAAAATGTTCTATACTTGATATATGTTATTTGAATCTCAATTTTATGAATATGGTTTTCATAAATTGTGAAAATTTTATTATGAATACAAATGGGATGACAGACCAAATACCTTGTACTTTTAATTTTTTAACCTACTTTGACCAGCAAAATGTAGTTCATACTTAATTTGTGTGGCTGAAACCTTAACTGGTTTTTTCTTCAGTGTTCTGACCATTATAAAAACCTGAAGCTTCCCATTTGCTACATGTACTTCTGTCCAACTTTCATATGTTGGCCTATACATGTCATTAAGGTTAATTAGATGGATATCCCTCTGAGATTTTGTCTATTGGAGCGCATTTGATCATATTAATTGATCTGAGCTTATAGAGCTTGGAAGAAGCAAGTGAGGCCATGGCGGTGGCAAGACCTACATTATTAGTCACGGACTCTACATTGAATGTGTGGCATTCCAACTTCCATATAGATTCTATATCTTCTCTAAGATGGCATGTCATAATGGATATTCCTTTAGGAGTGAAAAGCACATGGACTGGTATGGGTTGGAGCTTCCTTGCCTTAGAAAAGTCAATTAATGCATAACTAAGGTTTTCTCGTTCATAGATATATCTCCTGTCTTTGAGTTAGTGTATTTTTCTTTATTGTTATATTCTAGGATTGAACACAGAAATGCTCAAGAGCCATTATAATTTATGTCTAGCAACTGATTACTGTTGGGCACCAGAAGGAGCTGCTGTCATATGTTTTACATCAGGTAGCTATACTTCCTTTAATGTTTTCATTCCATGTCTCCTAGATACTTACTTTCTTATGGGTTTTTCTTTTTTTTCTAAATGGCAATCCACAATAGGAACCACTGGCAGACCTAAGGGAGTTACTTTAAGCCACTCTGCTTTGTTAGTACAGTCCCTTGCAAAAATTGCAATTGTTGGTTATGGAGAGGATGATGTACGGCCTCCATGTGCTAAAAGAAAAGGTTAGATGTTATTTGATGCATCCTGCAACAATCTAAAACTAAATCTTTCACAATTTCTACAGGTGTATTTACACACGGCTCCACTTTGCCACATTGGAGGAATATCATCTGCCATGGCTGTCTTAATGAGCGGAGGTTGCCACATCTTTATGCCCAAGTTTGACGCTGGATTGGCTGTTGAGTCCATCAACCATTATGATATCACCTCTTTAATTACTGTTCCAACTATGATGGCTGATCTAGTATCATTTTATAGGTATCCAAGACATAGCTTTTATATTTAAAATAGACACATGTGGGGTATATGGTGGTAACTGGTAAAGCTTTATTGGCATTTACACCTGAATGTCATCTTGGAACCATTCCCTAGGAAAACTGAAGAATGAATCTGTCGGAGTACTATACGTGCTCACTGTGAACATGTTCTGCTTTGTAGTTTTGCGAGAATGATTTAATGCTTCCATCCTTTTTTAAGGTTTATAAATATGGGTGAAGTTGATCGATATCGTAATTATGTTGTAATTATGTTCTGGCACAGCAAGAGAAAACATTTATTTTCTCTCTAAGTTTTTATAATTCCATTTCATGTTTTTTAAAACTTCTACAGCAGAAAGGGGGCACCTGGAAGGTCAGAAACGGTGAAGAAGATTCTTAATGGGGGTGGGGCCCTTTCAGTTGAACTTATCACTCAGGCAGCTAAAATATTTCCAAGGGCTAAACTTTTTTCTGCATATGGTACGCTCTAATTATTACTGGTATTCAGCAAATGGCAATCTTGCATACAGAATTAGGTGTTTTATTATAAGTGGTCAGTTGCCAGTCAATAAAATTTTCATTGCTATGTTTTATACAATGGAGGGATTGATATTGGTGAAAGGGACTCTTAGGGGTCATGAATGAAAAAATGTTTGGATAAGGGTATGAATTGTCAAATCCCCAATAAGTGAAGGACCAGAAAATGATATTTCATCACCGAAAGCTTCTTGTTTTAGCTGCTTTGAAGGGGATGGATAGCATTGAAGCTTAGCTATACAGAATATATATCTATTCAGTAGATTCTTGCAAGACATGCAATTTTATTGTCTAAGCAGCATGCGATTGATATTTGAGTTCATATGTATAAGTTTTTAAGTCTTTCCGAGTATTGATATACCTGATTCTGTTATGGACTTATGGCTGATGTCTATTTTACTTAAAAAATGTGAAGGGATGACAGAGGCATGTTCTTCAATGACATTCATGACGCTCTATGATCCGACAAAAGGAAGTGTTAGACAGCAGCTCCAATTGAATGTTGGTGGAAACTCCAAATTTTCAGACCAACAAAAGGGAATCTGTGTTGGAAAGCCTGCTCCACATGTTGAATTAAAAGTTTGTTCAGAGGGTTCATCTCATATTGGGAGGATACTAACACGAGGCTCTCATGTAATGCTTGGATACTGGGGCCGAATATCAAACGAAACTTTCAAATTTGTGGGTGACAACTGGCTCGACACAGGTGACATAGGGCATATAGATGACAATGGCAATATGTGGCTCATTGGGCGTTCTCAGGGTCAAATCAAGAGTGGAGGAGAGAATGTTTATCCTGAAGAAGTAAGTCATCATCATCATAAGTTCACAACTACCATTCTCCCCATTATGTTGAGATCCCTGTTAAAAAAATTGTTTTTATTAATTGTTTAAAATTAGTTTCACATTACCGTTCATATCATCCATAAAAGCAGAAAACAGTATAACGTAATCTGCCTCTTGATAGTAAAGGTAGATTAGTAGATAATTAAAAAGTTTATTAGACTTGTATTTATAAAGGGTCAGTGCGATAAGAGTGCAAATGCAGCTTGATTAGGTAGTTGATGTATAACATGTGCTGATTAACTTGGTATTCTGTAATCCTACTTCCACACCAACAAATGAATACCCAGCAGTGCAAAATGACTAGGATACTGTGTCTAAGTTGCATTAAAACAGTGTTTATTGCTTACCTAGACTGTATTTAAATTTGCTATGTGTGAAAGTTGTACCCCATCCCAAAAACAAATTACTGTTGGAAAACATTTTCTTTGTTTTTTTAAAGTCATATGAGTACATAGAAGAGTAACTATCATCATATTTGCACAAAAAAAGTGTCCCAAACAAGTTGAGTCTGTATATTATAGTTAACCAACAAAATGACAAATAAATACTCCCTCCGTACTAAAATGTTCTTTCCGTTTCTGTTTACGAGGTTTGACCGACTTTATTTTCAATTCAATTTATTTGATTGTAGGTATAAAATTAAAAAATAAAATTTATATATTTAAAAACCACGTCAAAAGTTCTACAAAACAAGTGGTGACAAGAGTATATTATTTTATCCAATAACTAACGAAAATATACCTTTCTAAAATTTAAAGGGTTCTATTTTTTTTTATGCAAACTCTTTTTATGGGACATAGATTTCCATAATCTCCGATGGAGCCAAAAATTCACTATTTTTTGGCTTTGAGGTGTGATGGAATAAAACAAAATGGATCTCTAAACTGTCTGCGTTTTAATTAATGAAGTAGCAGTTAGTCAATCAATGCAACTTTAAACACTGAGCCGGGGGTCTCTTTGGAAACAGCCTCTACTTTCGATTAAGGGTAATGTCTGCATTTACACACCCTCCCCAGACCCTACTCTTGGGGGGTTCAACTGGGTTGTTGTTGTTTTTATGGGACAGAGGGTGTGGTAAATCAGTGAGACACTAATGGTTCATGGTTTAATTTTTTTGTACATATTGTTTTAAACTTGTTTAACTTTACCAGCAGAGTTAACATAAACACTATTTTTTCTGTTGTTCTTTGATCATAAAGAATTCTTTGCCGCCTCTAAAGCCCTCAATCACCATATTTTTCTTGTGCAATGTGCAAAAGGTAGAAGCTGTCCTGTCACAACACACTGGTGTTTCTGCAAATGTAGTTATTGGGCTTCCAGATTCGCGGTTGGGAGAGATGGTCGTTGCCTGCATTCAGCTCAGGGGCAATTGGCAGTGGGATGATTTGAGATCCAATCCATCATCAATTAGCTACCCCGCAAACTACTTGTCTGCAGACATCCTCCGGTGCTTCTGCAAAGAAAAACAGTTGACTAGGTACGTCTTTTACTTCATCATCAACAGTGATTTGGTGTAGAAACTCCAGTAGGCTAGGTGTCTATAATAGTTCACCTAGCCCGCCTAGAACACCTAAGTGGATGTCTAACCGGCCTGGTAGTGAATCTGTTTAGGGGTGCCTAGTGGGAATAAAGCAGGCATAACAACAACCCAATAGGATCCCACAAGTGGGGTTGTGTGGAGGGTAGGTGTACACAAACCTCAAGTCCTCAACCTTACCTGAAAAGGTAAGGAGCTTGTTTCCAAAAGACTCTCGGCTCAAGAAAATATAAAGACAAGTGAGAAGAATCAAATATTGAAAGATGAACAACAACAACCCAACATAATCCCAACATTGTTGGGGTCTGGGGGGTCAAGATGTACGCAGTTTTACACCTGTAAAATACAGAGAGACTGTTTTCTTTAGATCCTCGATGCATTGCTGCATTAACTACCCAAAACTTCATTGAAGGTAAGAAGCAATGGAAGGTTAATGTGTCATTTCAATTTAGTCCGATCCAATATTTACCCGAAGCTAAAACATTGTCAATCACGACTATTTTTGCTCCATCGGCAATGGACATATATTGGAAGATGAACAATAGAAGTAAAATAACTAGTGGAGTAAAGAAAGGAAAAGTAAGTATCCACACACTAACAAACAAACCCCTACAAAGAAACCCCTCCACACCTATGATGATGGCGGTTTTATATTTATCATCTCACTGTTCCTTCATTTGGGATAGGAAGGTCATGTCTCTCTACTTCTAAGTAGGGGTAAGGTCTACGTACGCACACCTTCCACACACTCTACTTTTTGTGGCATTTGACCGGATTTGTTGGAGCCGGGGGTCTCTTGGAAACAGCCTCCCTACTTCCGAGTAGGGGCAAGGTCTGCGTACACACACCCTCCCCAGACCCTACCGTTGTGGGATTCACCTGGGTTGTTGTTGTTGTTGACCGGATTTGTTGGTGTGATAGGAACGCCATTCGGCATAAAACTTTGCCATTCTTTTTTTGTTTGTTTTTGTTCATGTTTTTTTTTGCTTGAAAAATACTGTTACTAGTTTTAGAGAATTAATGTCACTATAAATTTCATGCTACTGACCCAGAAGCTATGTGGCCTTAATGTCATGATAATGATTTGTGCATTTGTATATTTGATGCATAGTATTACTTTAATATTTCCAGGTTTAAAGTACCAAAGAAATTTATTCTCTGGAGGAATCAGTTTCCAGTGACAACAACAGGAAAAATAAGAAGAGAGCAACTCAAAGCAGAAGTAATGTCTACTATGCAGTTGATGCCCAGCAAACTTTAGCCACAGTACTTTCTGCAGCCTGGGGAGATGGTCATAATTTGGAGGTGTCCACTCTTCTCGCATATTATATGGTACGTTTGGTTGTACCTGGTTTCCTATACATCCAATGGAAGTTTTTTTTATTTGTTGTTATCTATTTTTTCAAAATATTATTTTATCTAATCAAATATACCACGTTATTCTTATTTAATTATGTCAATTTTGATTGGTTGGAAAAGTCAAAATTGGCCAAATATTCTAGGACAGAGAGTGTATATGTTTTGGGTCACGTCTCTCTCGTTTCATTTGTCTCTTCTCAATCTCCCTCTTCTTCTTCAACCATCTTGGCGGGTCTACTTTTTTTTAATACTATTAACTCCATTAGAATGTACCAAGTAATATCTTTTCACATGCTTCATTATAATACTAAAGCACAAAGAAGTAATGTTTGTACTTGGGTTTGAATTTGTAACTTCTTGGTTAGGAGAGCTGAAATTATCAAAATTTTTGGCTCTCTATATTACTTCCTTTGTTCTAATTTAAAGTATTCATTTTAGTTTACGATGTTTGATTGAAATTATTTTTTCAATTTATTTTACATAAAAATTGGTGGAATATAAAAATGGAATTTATTTATTTAAAAACTATATCTAAAGTTCTACGGAGTATTATCTCTAACTCAATTTAAGTTCTCTGTTTATTATTTACATTGTCCGTAAATAATGAGCATGGTAATAATTACATATTGACCATTCATGAAAATGTTGAAAAAATGTCCCATTAGTTGCACACGTAGAGGGGTTTCCGTGATTTTACCTTTGCACCAAATTAATATCCCCTCCATTTACTAAAGATCTTCTCATTATGCTTTATGAGGTTTAATCAATTTTATTTTCAATTCAAATTATTTGATTATAGAGGTAAAATTTATGAAAAAAATTTATACAATAAAAAAGTACATGAAAAGTTTTTTCAAAACTTGTAGTGACAAGACTATTACTTTATGAAATGAGTAGTAAAAATAAGTATATAAAGTAAGTTAAGTTTGATCCTGTAAACAATGTATGAGAAGATACAGGAGAGTAACAATTTAAAGATAGGGCTGTCAAATCAATTCTTCGTTTAAGCCATTAAGAAAGTTTATGTTCATGCAACATAGGGGGTTGAATACATGGAAGAAAAAGATACAAGGGTCTGTTTGGGAATAGCTTTAGCTATTAGCGTTAGCGTTTTGAAAATACTATCTACGGACAACGTTTAGCGTTAGCGTTTTCAAAGTAATCTGCACCGTTAAAATTTTATCCGAAATGTTAACGCTAATCTTTAACGCTGTTCCCAAACAGGCTCCTAACAAAGGTTAAAAAGAACATAACAGTTAATAGAAATAGATACGAAGTACTCCGTACTAAATTTGATTTTAGAACGGTTATTAGATCCCTCAATGTGCAATATACCCTAGTTTTTTCAATACCAAATCAAAGCTTGCATGGGATGGATAGAAATGGAAAATTTCACTAAAACGCTAAATTTCTGGATTGAATACTGGGATGAAGGAGCTTTTAGCGGCATTTAGCAGTGAGTGAAAATAGCAAAACAACAAGAGAAGACGAACTTTTGGGAAACAAACACTTGGGAGGGGGGGGGGGTTAGGCTGTGTTTTGTTTGTCTGATCTGACCTGACTAATTTTTAAAGATTATTTTGAGATATATCTTAAATGACATATGAAAAGGTAATTTTGAGACAAAGAGAGCATATATTCAACCAATATCACACTATATTAATATTAATACATAAAGACAACAAAAAAGTAACTGTGTAAAATCTATCAATTGGTTTTACGCTGGTTACTTAAATTGTGATGTATGTTATCCACTTTTAATAATTAAATTTTGGGTTATGTTAGAGATATACCAAAATGACTTTATTCCATTTCAGGTAAACACCGACACTACACTAAGTGTTTGTGTTTGTGTGGTGTACAAATGTGGTATAATATTTTGGTGTACCCGTGACTTTATTTTTTAAACCCACAATGTGTTGAATTTTTGGCCACGTTGACAATTTAGGTTAGTGATAATTTACGTTTGAAATATAGCTTGATTGAAGCATCTTTTTAGGGACATGTGTAAATTACTCGACTATATGTGTGCATATATAATGTTTTACATTTATGTTGACATTTGTTTTACACTTAAATTTTACCATACTTAATTTAAAATTAAAACTATTGATGTGTTTATTCACTTTATTGTTGAATAGAGACTATTTGACAGAAGTTGATATTTTTAATTCAATTTATTTAGAAACTATAAGTAACATTTTTAAAGAAACTATAAATGACTTTTGATTATATTTTTTCCACAAATATTCTACATAATATTTGTTGAAAGATGTATGAAGTATAACTTTTCATTTGAATGTGTAGTACTCCCCCGTTTCATTAAATTTACGACACTTTGGCCATGTTTGGAAAAAGACTTTTCGATTGGCTTTTAGTTTCTTTGATTGACTTTGATAATTTTGACTAAACAAGCAACCAAAATCATTATTTGACAAATGTCATTTTCACTTGGCTTCTCGGTTCGAAAAGCCAAAATCTAAAATGTTAAGAAGAGTAGCTTTTAGACTTGGCTATCCGAAACAATTATTTTTTTGTCATTTTTTAAATAAATATTTTTAAAATATGTTAAAAAATGAAAATAAAACTGAAAATTGAAAATACAAATTTTAGTAAATAAAAAATTAAATTAAATGAGAAAAAATCATGAATAAAAATAATTGTTAGAAGAAATTTTAAACTAAAAAGTAAGATAATTAAAATAAAAAAATAAATAGGTTAACTATGTTTCTTGTCCTCGTAAAATTAACGACTTTTGTTTTTGGTTCTTCTGAAATTATTTAAATCAAATCATCTCCATAAAATTAATATGTTTTCAAATAATCCTCCTCGATTTTAAATATGGAGTATATGTTTTGATCCTTTAAAATTTATAAATTTTATTTTTAGTCCTTTTAAGATTCATTTGGTTTATTAGTTCATATTTTAAATTGTTAAATACTCATTACAAGATACTTTATTCTCTATATTAAAATTAATTTATTAAATTACAAGATAAAAGTAAAATAAATAGTTTTAGAAGCTTAATCCAATTTACAAATTTATTTAAAATTTTGGTAAATTAATACGGAGTACTTTTGAAAAAAATATTTAGCCAATTTAATATTTTTTTAGTAAAATTATTTCTTATTTCTCCGATGTCCTTAAAACGCAGATCTAAGACTCACTTTGATGAAGATACTAGTATTTTCACCCGTGCGATGCACTGGGTCAACGAAATTTTTGTCGATTCTGAATTTTTTTTAATGCAATATATTTTCTGAATCAAGTAAATATATTTCTAACATGATTTTTTATCATTGGACAAAAACACCAAGGTAGAATAAATAATATTTGAGGAATTGAAAATGTACTCAAAAATGTCTTTTTTAATTCCAAAAATGTTGGCATGAAGAATAAGAAATTAAGTACTACTTTTCACCTTATGAAATAAAGGATAAGACACGTTGATTTACCATTCAACAACCTCGAGCACAGGTGCCAATAGTGCACTATCTTAAAAGAAAGAATATAATAGTTTTTTATGTTTTCCAATAAGTTCGGATAAGTGAAGTTCATTATATTCTTGAGGAATAACTTGTGTCAAGAATCAAGATCTTTAACTATTAGAGCACCTGTTTCATGTATTGTGGAGATATTATAATTTCTTGAGTCTCTAGTTTTACTTGTCAACAACCTCAATGATACATTAGAAGTAAGCTCATTATATATGAAGTCTTACTTCTCAACAGCCTCAATTATACATTAGAAGTAGGCTCATTATCCATGAAGTCTTTAGTTCTTCTAAATATCTGTGTTAAAACATTATGCTCATCTACCATATTTTCAAATCTTTGACCAAACTTTTATCAGTAGTCAAAGAATTATTCTTCCTACTGTGCGAAACAAATAGAACAATTTGTTTTTATTAGCATGTTAATAATGTTCCATGTGTATTATATTGTCAAACACATGTAAATAATACTTTTATTAAAAGGGTGTACTTAATAAAGTATTCGAGATACCTAAAATGAGTTTTTTTGTTTTCATATCTCGTTCTGTATACCATAAATATACAATTGTGTAAATTTTGGTCTTTCACCATATTGTGACATTAAACATGGTATGTGATGATGAATGTGTCTGCTGAGAGTACATTATTGCTCAATCATTATTGTGAGATGTATCAATATTTCCATTTATAAATGTTAATGAAAACATACAGTTGTATTTATTTAAATTTTTCATGGTAATGAGAACTCTTCACACTAAGACCATAAAATAAATTATAGAGCAAATCAGATGGTTTTCCTTAGAAGAGACAATTAAACTTTTTTGCAAAGTACATTCTTTCTTGAACGTGTTTGATAGACAATAAATTCGTGGTTGGAAAATTATAGATGATATTTTGAGAAATATGTACTGGAACGTGTTTGCAAAGTACATTCTTTCTTGAACGTGTTTGATGATGCGAGTTTATAGCCAATGATGATCCCTCTCCTTCTGTATTTGTAATAAGAATCATAAAATAAATATTATAATTTTTTATCTAAAAATTTTAAATATTTTTTTATTATCCACTAATATTTGTTACATTGATGTCGATGGTTCAATGAATAAATAAGAAAGAATATTACTTACTTATATTATTTTGACATAGATGTCAAAATAATTAGCACATTTTATATTTTTTAAGAATTAAATATAAAAGTAATTACATTTATAACAATAAATATTATACCATTAATATTTCGATTAAGAACACCAATTAATATTTAATTTATTACACATAAATACTCACTTATCAAGTCTTGATCATTTTACAAAGTTATAAATGGAAATGTTAATTTTTGTTACCTGTAAATTTTTACAAAGCTATACATGGAAAGCAATAATTTTAAAATGGAAAATACTAATTTTAAAATGGAACATACTTTTTATTTGATTTAGAATTTTTTTATATATACGGAATAAAATTAATGCTCTATTAAATAAGCGTGCCCATAAAAATCCATTTCCTTTTATATATTTGTTTCTTTTTTTAAATAATTAGAAAATCTCTCCTATTAGTATTAATTCAAAGCAAAAAATCAAATGTAATTTCGTTTAGTCCTACCAATCTTCGTTCTTAAAGTAAATTTATTTGTTTTAATTATAGTTTTTGAATAGGTGTTTTTTTTAAATTTCAAAATATACTATTTAATTTAAATATTTTCCAATAATGAATGAAAATATAAAAGTTTTTAAACGCGATTATATGGAGAAATTTGTGTGTAACAAATATGAAATTTAATTTCCGCATAATAAGTTTTTTTGTTAACTATTTTTTAAACATTACTTGCTAACATGACATGCTGATAAGTTAAAAAAGTTGTCTAATAAGCACGCCACATATCACAATTCTAGAAGCCCAGCCTGTTTGAAATATTGAGGAAGTCGATTTTGATGACGTGACTGATGAAGTGTCAAAAAAAGTTCCAGTCAGCACGCCAAATGTCGCAATTCTGAGAGTTTAACTCTCAAATATTATATATAAAGGATTAGTTTTATTGATACTCATATATATTGCTCCTCCTCTTTCTCACAAAGCAAACAACTTAGGGGCTGTTTGTTTCGGCCTCTTAATGGTTCAGATGTCTGAATGATTCAGCACTTAATGGTTCAGACTGTTTGTTTCAGCCTCTTAATGGTTCAGATGTCTGAATGGTTAAGAGATTTGCCTCTGAATGGTTAAGTATTATACAGAGTCTGAATTGATCAGACATTTGCCTCTGAATAGTTAAACAATATACTAGCTCTTAATGGTTGAGATCTCTGGTTCAGACCTCTTACTGGTTCAGCACTTACCCATTCAGAAGTTACCAAACAGCCCCTTAGTATCAATATCCATGTTTGAAAGTTGGTTGTCATCTAAGGCTTGTTTGTGTCAGCTATTTTGAATAGCTAATAAATTTAGTTGATTTGACCAACTAGATGTGTTGGTTTAATTGTTAAAAAATGTTTGGTTCAAGAACTAGATGAGTTGGTTTAATTGTTAAAAAGTTGGTCTTTTTCGACCAACCAGTTAAAAAGTTAAAAAGTTGAGTTGACCAATCAGTTAAAAAGTTTTGCTACATTACGTAAATTGAATTGAAATTTTGAGTATTTTCAATTCATTTTATTTAAAGATTGACATAGAAAGATTAAATAAAATTTATATATTAAAAAATCATGTCAAAAGCCCTTCAAAACAAGAAATAACAAAAATAATTTATTTTATTAAATATTTAATGAATACATACAAATAAAAAATTACCATAATTTTTGAATAATAAATGGTGATATATACTCCATCCGTTCCACAAAACCCTTCCTCTTTTGGTTTTTTTACTTTCCACAAAACACTTCCACTTTATATTAAAAAACTACTTTTACCCCTATTTTTTCATACCCTACCTATCACATCATACTTTTTCACTAATAACCAAACTATCACATCTTATTTTCCCATCACATCAGGGGCAAAATTGGAAAATCAACCAAAATTACACTTTCCTTACTTTTCCCCAAAGTTAAAATCGGAAGGGTTTTGTGGAACGGAGAGAGTATATATTTTGGGTCTGGAGTAGGGGTGTATACGAATCGAATCGAAGCAAATATTTCAGTATTCGATTCGTAGTCGATTAAAGTGATATGTATTCAAATTCGGATTCGTATATAATTCGAATTTTAAAAAACATTCGTATTCGATTCGATAGATATTTGACGTGTTTGAATTCGTATTCGAATATTCGAATTCGAAAATATTAGTATTTTTTTCTTAAAACAGATTTCTTAAAGACATTAAATTATTATTTTATAATAATGTAAAATGTAGTAAAAATATGTTAGAATATATATAAATTTATTTATAAATTACAATATTCGAATATATATAAATTTATATGTACACAAAAATTTAATATATTAAAATATTTTAAAATATGTACAAAAATATTTAATATATTAGAATATATATAAATTTATTTATAAATTATAATATTCGAATAATTCGAATAATAAACGAATCGAATCTATTAATATTTATATTTGTATTCGAATTCGAAAATAATTTGAATCTAAAATATGATTTGTATTCGGATTCGAATTCGAATATAGCGAATACGAATGATCCTTTTTGAATACGAATCACGAATCGAATACATTTTATTTGACGGTAACTGCTAAGCGACGGATTCACATGGATTAAATTGTAATAGTCGTGCTAAAAAAAGTCAAATTAAAAGTTGAAAGGTGAGTAAGCGGCGGATTCACCATAACCGAATCCAGTGGAGCTGTATGTTCAAATCATTCCTTCCCCACAATCTCTCTCTCTCTTCTTAAACCCTAAATTCTCCCAAACCTTGGTGGAGCTGGTGGCGGAGAAGGCGGAGGTGTTCCATAGCCTTAGTCAGCGGAGGTCTTATATTGCCGGAGTACCAGAAGCCTTGTAAGTCTTACGCTTGATTCATGCTCTATCACTTACTCTCTAATTAATTGAACTGGATTTTTGAATTTTGAATTTGAAATAATGTTTGATTGAAGATTTTCCATTTTTCGTTTTGCCCAATTATGCTCATTTTAATGTCTACATGATTTATGGTCTGTATCTATGGACCTTCCTGAGCTCTCTTTGACCTGCTTCACTTTGACTAGTCTTCTGCAATCTAGTTTTTTTTTCCGAAATGAATCTTTGTTTTGTATTTTCAGGAAAGATTATCGGCCGGAATGGAGGGCCAGGAGGTATTGGAGAATGGTGTGGTTGGAAATGGGGTGGCGGCGAAGTCTTCTTTTTCTAGCGGCGAGCTGGGGGGAATTTTCGACGGAGTAAAGGAAGGCATGAATTTGGGTGATGATATTTTGCAGGACTTTGATTTGTACTGGGATGACATTAGTGGCCGGCTGATGGTGTCGCGGATGGTGAGTGATTCTGTCATTAAGGGGATGGTGGGTGCTGTAGAGCAGGAAGCGGCTGAGAAAGTCAGGGCCAAGGAAATGGAGATGGCCAAGTTGAAAGAAGACATTCAGTTTTGTGTCACGGAAGTTAATGGAGTTGGGTGTCTAGGATCATATGCGTTGTCTGATAAGCAAGAAAGTGTGCGGCATTTTACATTTTCCGGAGGGTTCATGGAGAACGGCGAGATGATGGACACTTTGATTAGACTTAGAGGCTCAGTAAAAGAGCAGTTTGAGAAACTTAAGAAGGACATTTATGATGTCAAAGAGCATCATTCACTTAGGAGGATAGGCTCTAGCTCTGAGTTGGTGGGACTGAGCGGTATTCTCCAGGAAAACAAATCTGAAAGCTGGGGTCAGGTAGACAAAACAATGAACCGCCTGAAAATGACAGTTGATAGCGTATTTGTGTGGGTGGATGATACACTTCGCTTGTCAAAGTCGTCAGTTGTTGAGTTGCAGAAGGAGAAAGACCTTCAAGGAGAGCTTGAGAACATGGTGATGCAGAATCTTTTGAGGAGTTTTCTGGAAGACTTTGAGAGCAAATTATGGGATCAAAACACTCCGTTGTGCAACAAGCAGATTGATAAGCTCAGTGAAATTGCTATGATACGGGCTGACTTGGATGGTATTTTTAGATCATTGCCAAGCGCCGAACTTGGGAATCTGACATCTCATGGATCACATGATATGGATACATTTCAAAATAAGGTTTCGAGAGACCATGTTACACCTCCAAAGTCTCAGGAGGAAAATGGTAAAATAGAAGATTCGAGTACTGATGTACCCAAGAACTTTGAAACTGCGCAGTTGAAGCATTTATCCAAGGAGGATTTAGTAAGCTACTTTAACAACATGATAATAAAAATGAAGAGAGACCATGAGTCCATTTTGCAAGCAAAAACAGAAGAACTATTTACTTTAAAAGCAGAATTCCTTAGGCTTAGGGAGAGAGGTTCATATGTGCCGCACAAGAAGGACAAGGAGCTTGATGTATTGAGGAAAAAGATCCCTGAAGTTCTTTCAAAACTGGATGATATCCTTTTTGTGAATGAGAAATGTCCTTCAATCCCCTGTAAGGATGAAAATATCTGCAACTTGAAGAATAGGCTTGAAAGCCTTCTTTCTGAAAATTGTCGTCTAAGGGACTCACTAGCACATAAAAAAAATGAAGTGAATGTTCTTTCCTCCCAAATTTCAGATGCTACTGAGAAGATGCATAAGCACTCTATGGCTGAAATGAAAATGCAAAAGCTTATAGATAATCTCAACTTGGCTGTTCAAGATGTAGATATAGAAGCTTCAATCAGGGAGGAAGTATATAAATGTTTCATTAGGGAACTCAGAGAAGAGTTATACATGCAGCTTCATATGGCACGAGAATTTCATGAAGCTATTTTTAAGGAAGCTGCTGTGAATTCTGAAGGTACTAGCATAACCGAAATAGGAGATTCCGACTGTGAGTCTTTGATCATGCAAGAAATGTTTGCTGTGATTTATGGTGAAGCAGTCATGGATTTTGAAAGAAGTTTCAAAGAGTTATGTGGAGATTTTGTGAGGGAACGTGACACTCGAATTTGTCTAGAGTTGCAAGCTTCTCAAAGGGAAAATGATTTTGCACTGGAGGCTGATGAGAAATTTAAGTTGAAGGAAGAGCTTGTTGCACTGAAGAAGTTATTGGAAGAAAAAGACAGAGTAGCAACTGTTGTTTCAACTGCACTGGAAAAGGAGAGGAATCAATTTGACCTGGTATCTCAAGAGTTGAATAGCCTAAGAGAACAGCTCACCAACCAGAACAATTTAGCTTCTGAAAACTCCAAGGAATTAAATCTTGTAAAGGGTCAATTAGTAGAAGCATCAAATCAAATTGAAGTATTTAAGGAAAAAGCAAATCTGTTGAACCAAAAGCTTGAACAAAAGGTGGAGGAGTTGAAAGAAGCTGATGATCAAAGAAGAATGGCACTTGCTCTTTCAGAAGAGAGGCAAAGCAATTTGTTATCACTCGAAGCCAGGGAAAAAGATTTAAGAACACAAATGGATGCCATAAAAGGGACTATACATGAGCTGTCAACAATGCTTGCTGAATTTGAGCTTAAGGTGGCAAAGAGAAGCAATACAAATGGATTAAGGTATGCATTTAAAAATCTTGTGTAATTAGATGTGGTCCTTGGATTCAGTGGGGTTTCAGTTGGTTTACATTTTATTTGTTCTTTTGCTTTGTAGAAGAAATATGAGTTTGCTAATTGCTGTACAAAGGCATATAATTTCTACTTTCCGTATCATAGTTGTCTCACATTCACTAATAATCGGCAGGCTAATTTTCTTGGTATGATTTATGTTATAAATCCTCATGGGTTTGAACCACTTTTCGTAATATGGTGTGTTCATTTCCCATTGTTCACATGCATACTCCAACTCTTAGAAAGCAGGGATCTTGGAAGTGGGTATCCCTTAAGCTACTCAAGTGGTTCAAAAGACATGAATTTTATAATTTCATATTTACATGACACGATGTTTCTAATATCATCTGTGGGGAGCGGGTGCATTTATAGAGCCTTATTTTACTTAATTAAATACTTTTCTTGCTACGTTTAGATTGGAACATTCACAAACTCAATTGAAATCACTCCTCAAGAAGGCAAATCTACTTAGAAAAAGAGCTTTGGTCTGTCAACAAACACTTGAAAAGAGATCTTCAGACCTTCAATTGGCCGAGGCAGAGGTAAATACCTACTTTCATGCTTTATCAAGGTGATGAATAATAAAATGAATGAAGAGGATTTGGTATTTTTTTACCAGTTGCCATATTCTAGACACACTTTAGATACTTAAATTCCAGCAGTGTACTATTTGAATCACTTAAGTAACTTTTCAATGAATGCTAATAGGTCTAATATACGTTGCATGTAATTATATGGTGAATAATGTAGTGTTTCATGTTTCTAATTTCTATGGTACTCCCTCCGTCCAGCTGAAAATTCCACCTCTCCATACTTGACTGTCCCAAAATACATTCCATCTTCTATTTTGGGTCAAAAGATAAACCTAGTTTACTATGCTTTGTCACTTTTTTTTCCCACAGTGTAAGTGCCCATTTTAAACAAAGCGCAGTTTTATCTTTAATATGTGTGCCCTCAAATAGCATGTGCATGTAACTTATGCTGTACATTTGAAACACAGGTTGATCTTCTTGGGGATCAAGTGGATGTACTATTGGGCCTACTTGAAAAGATCTACATAGCACTTGACCATTACTCACCTATCCTGCAGCACTACCCTGGGGTTAGATCATCGATCTTTAAGAGAAATTCAGTGATATGATACTCTTTTTTTAGTTTATTTTCTTTTATAGCTTACTTTAAAAAAATAAAGATGCAAAAAATGATTTTTTGTTAATTTTTTTTTACACAGTATGTAAATTATAAACATGACTTGGGTAATGCGAATGTTTATACTGTTAGTGTAATCAATGTTACCAAGTTTTTTCCTCGTTTACTCCTTACTTTTTACCTTGGCGTAGGTCATTGAAATTCTCAAGCTGATCAGAAGGGAATTGAGTGGAGAATATACCAAAGCCGTGTGATTGTTTCACTGAGGTGAATTTTCTTCTACTACCCTGAGGGGGGATTATCTCAAGGGTTATAAAGAGAATGCTTATTTGAAATACATGAAGTTTCTCTTGTTCAATATTCAAGCAAATGGCAAGAAGTTGTCACTCAATGCCCCTTGTTTATGACTAATCAACTACTTGGCCAGACCTTTCAAGTTGAAATGGTAGCACAATGGCACAATTTGTTCTTTCGGTACATATCGAAAGTGGATGGCTGGTGAGCTCCTAACTCTGGGTTTACATTTAGGGTCCGTTTGGTATTTCACAATGCAAGAACAAATTTAGTTTAGTCAGAGGACTTGACTAAATTTGTTGCTCCCAATTCCAATTCTATAGTTTGAATTTCGTGTACCAAACGGAATCTTAGTCATTTTGGAACCTGTTGCTGTTGAGGATGAAATGTTGATGGCGGCGTGGCGGGAGCTGTAACAGAGCAGTAATAGGGGACTTAGACTTGTTAGTTTCTCTTTGTATATATAAATATTTAAATGTGCTTTGATATATTCTTAATTTATTACTAGTATAATTAACTGGAGGTAAAATAAAATTTGGTTTGTGTTTTCACCACTTTTTCAACTGGTGCAGTCACTTGTCACTTGATTATTTTTGAAAAGGGCTAGTTTTGTACACACTCATTTTGAAAATTATAGAAGTATGATCTCAACTTTGTTGGGGGTCTAAAGGATCCAGATGCATACAATCTTGCCTCCGTGAAAGAATAAAGTTTATTTCAGTTAGGCATTGAGATTGTTCTTTTGGATTAGAATTTCAGAATTTGATATTGGAAAAATGGAAGTTGGAAAGAATTGGAAATAGTTAGAAAATGTTGGAAAAATTAAAAGTATTAAAAAGTCACTCAATTAAATGATAATCTAAATAAATATGCAAATCTAAATAAGTATGCAAGATATCACTAATTTTGGATAAAAATGAATTCATCCTTCTCTGACATAGTACATTATAGAATATAAATTTAGATATATAATGTTATTGTAGGTTAATCACACATCAATATTTTTTCAAGTTGTTGGAAAAAAATTGGAAAGAACTAGAAAAAATTGAAGGAAACTACAATTGCTTTATTATCTAAAATTCAAAAGGACGTGAATATATTGTTGCATTTAATATCTAAAATTTTACACAAAGTTTGAAGAGAATTTAATGTGTCATTTTGATTTATTTCATTATCTATTATTCATGTGCTCCATGTGCGTCTCTTTTTTCCTTGTATAATATTCCTTTCGGTCTTAAATTTTTTTCCTATTTTGAATGGTTTTAGTTAAATAGTGGTACTCTTTGACCATAAATTAGACATTATGCATATAACTCATGCAACAATGCATCAATGGCCGAACTATTTATGCATATAACTCATGCAACAATGCATCAATGGCCGAACATGTGTTTTAACAAGAATAATATCGCGTACATCTTTCCGCCACTGGATTATACTCTGTTTGTTGTTGCGGAAGAGTGCAATTTCAAAGTTCAATGAGTTACAACAACAACTACTACTACTACATATGAGCATCATCCCAGTTGATTGAATTTCCCTCGAAACCAATCTCTCCGCGATGCAATTTGTTCCGAGCCAGTCTACTCATCATCGCAAGACCTGAGGCTCAAAATGGTACCAGTAAATATGTTACAATGCAGGCAAATAAAAGCTCTACACATAATAGGAAAGCACCTATTTGTTAAAACCTTAATTGGTTTGGAAACCCCAGAAGACTGTGTGCCTTCGGCAGGGTGTTTCTTGTAATGCTTGGTAATTTATCTTCTTACCACAAATATCCCTTATTTTCTTTCCCTATATAAATGCCTTTTAAGTCATTTGCATTGCAGCACCAACAACTCAAACAGACTCCCAGAATCCATAATTTCTCAAAAAATGTCAGAACTGCAACACCAAATGCTAGAAACTGTTCAAACGAACAACAGCTATAACGTTTGGGATATTACAAGTGGGTCAAGTCTATGCTCATTATCACATGACTTGATAGCTGAAAAGACATTCGATCCGACGTAAAACAAGGCTCATTTTCGTATGGATATATGTCGGCTAATTTTAGACAATTGATTGACCACATTAATTCTCTAACACCAACCCCAACATAGTTGGGATAAGTGAGATATGATGGCAGGAAATGGGGCAAATGAGAATAGTTCTTCCCGTGTGAATGTTGAACACTTAGAACAACTCGGTTGCAAAATTTTCAGCACTGCACGCAGAAAGGGAAGGCCCACTTATTCACAAACATTCCATTACGATCTTTCCCAGCACTGGGAAGTATGGTATGTAAGTTTACATTCTTAACTGATCACTCCCCTATGAAGGTTATAAGATGGGTCAAGTCTATCTCTTTGTGCAAGCAATCTATTTTTTCAGGGGACTAAATGATGAACTGTTCTACTAGACCGATATAGAAACATTTAAGCCTTTACCTTCAATCATTCGGTACAAAGAAGACCACCATCTATCTCCAGTTAAATGGTAGTGCTCCAGAGTCTCTTCAATTGCTGTGTCATGCTTCCCCTCTAACACCCCCTGTAAAGTGATTACGGCATCCTTGGTTCTCTTGACAATATTATCGTCATCTTCGATTTCCAAATGCAAAAGGTCATTCTGTGATGAAGTTAGGTTAACAGCCAGTGCAAACTGGGTGGCAGCAACCCAGCGGGTAGAGGCTAACCATCTCCTTTGCCCATCTAACAGTTTTTCCTCACCGGCTTTCATATCATCTTTCTCACCAAGTACTAAGCTTCGTAAATACTGAGCATTAGCCCCCCCTGTGCTCTGAACCATCCGAGAAAATGCACTTTCTTCGTCTTGTAACAACACCTTTGGTGTACCATACTCCAAAACCTGATGAACGTATACATAAAAATTCACGTATGAATAAAATAAATGGACTTTTGACAACTCGTGCTTTTATCATCATCATCATCACCATCATCAGTATTATCATCATCATCATCATCATCATCATCATAATACGGAGTAATAAGTATTATTAAAATTATCATTAGTTAATTGACCAAGGGAAATGATCTTTAAACTACTTGAGGTGACGGGGATTCTCTACCAACCTGACCAGAGTGAAGCAGAAGAATTCTATCACAGTCAATGATAGTATTCAAACGGTGAGCAATAATGAGCATTGTGCAAGACTTAAATTCTTCTCTTATGGTTTTCTGTATAAGTGCATCCGTTCTGACATCAACAGCAGCAGTTGCTTCATCAAGGACTAGGATCTTTGATCTACGAAGCAATGCTCGGGCAAGACTTAATAGTTGCCTTTGTCCAACACTGAAATTTTCTCCTGCCTCTGACACCTTCATTCCACACACATCATATTGACATGTCAGCAGAATTTAAGCCAAGGCATATAGATTTGCTACTTTGAATTGTGTCATTATAGCTAATAGCTTTGCCAACACATTTTTGTTGTGAAAAAGCTATAGAAAATTAGAAACAAAGCTTTATGGGTAGACTGTGATGGTTAAATGAAGAGTAAATTCCATAAACGGTCCTTTATCACAAAGGGTTTTCCATATATAGTCCCAAATTCTAAAATATTACATTTGTGGTCCACGATATTTGAGAACTATTCCATGATCAGTCCTTTGTGGACTATATGTGGAAAACAATATTTGGCCCAAAGAGCTAATTATGGTATAGTTCTCAAATATAGAAGACCACAAACGTAATAGACTAATATCTTAAAATTGAGGACTATATATGGAAAATCTCATGTTATAGAAGACCATTTAAGTAATTTACTCATAAAGAGGTGAAACATCTATGCCACCTTAAAATATACTCCCTTCATCCCAAAAACTCCTTCCCCTTTATTTTTTCTTGTCCCACAAAATCCTTCCCTTTTCTATTAAAAACCTACTTTTACCCCTACTAATTCTTAACCTATCTATCACATCATACCTTTCATCTCATAAAGAGGTGAAACATCAAGGGTATTTTTGGAAAGTCAACACAAAATTATCCCTTCCTTAAATTTTCTAAAAGTCAAAATGGGAACATCTTTATGGGATGGAGGAAGTATATATATATATATATATATATATATATATATATATATATATATATATATATATATAGTGTGTGTGTGTGTGTGTGTGAAGCAACAGCAGCATATACCTCAGTGTCCAGACCCAAAGAGCTCCTCCTGATCACTTCCTTGAGATGTGCCCTCTCTAAAGCCTCCCACAAATCAGCATCATTGTGCTCATTGAAAGGATCAAGGTTGAATCTAACGCTACCTGGCTCAATAAAATAGAGAAAGAAGAGTACAAGGTAGAGTTTAGTCTTCATTGTGTCATGCTAAATTAGAAAATAAATATAAAAGCAAACAAATAACATAACCAGATGAAGTCCCAAAATAAAAGTTTCCTAATTGAGTTCCATATTTTATAGTAAGCTATGTTGTATGATAGAATGCTATTGTTAAGTCCATACATTACTCTCTGCACACAACACAGCAGACTTGGCACACAAATAGATAGCCAATCACTCTCAGTGCACACACACAAAGACTTGGCAAGAGCAGATGTGTTCCAAATTTAATATTGATCTGTCACTATGGAACAGCAATTTATGTGACAAGTAATTGACCATGTGACTGCCAAAGGTGAGTGTGTCCAATATGAAGGTGCCAAGATTGGCCTTTCACTATGCAAAACAAGTCAAAAGTATACATACTAATTTGTTTCCTTAAAGAACTCCTTTGGACGTGCTGTTTTAAACGAATTAAATGTTTTTTATTTGATCTCCAAAAGTATCCTTGTAGTATGTGGTGAAGAGAATAATTGACAGTGATTGGTGGGATATTAAATGAGGATAGTAAAGAAGGTTTCTTTACTTTTACCAAAGGAAAGCAGATTTTATTTATAGATAAACCAAAAAAGGAAAACAAGAACTTTACTTAGGGATGGAGGAGTGTATAAGAGTCATGAGTCAATATTGTTAGAGCCCTAACTAGGATACCAAATGTGGTGCAATTGTTCGCAATGATAGCTTGTCATTTATATTTACTTTATTGTACAGTTACAAGTTCATTCCATTTTTATCCTTCTCTTTTCGTTGTTCACCTCTCTATGTTAAGTGTTGTTAGAATATATGGAGTAAAACCTTTCTTCGGTTTCAAGCTACAAGCTCAAGCTTTTGGTTGAATAGATTCCTTGATAACTGCCAATAATGTTGGGATTCTAACAAAATAAAAACTATTTTCGTAACTCTTTGCAATGCTAGCTCGTATATCCTATTTAAAGTCATAATTTAAAAGTTCTCCCTTCATACCACTCCTTATGTGTGTGCACACACACACACACCAAACATTTATTTTGTGTTCTTTTTTCACATGTATTAAATTGTGCAAAGCATGCACTGATGCACCTATATCATGTTAACAAAATAGGGCAACAATTTCAAAAGGAAAAGGGTATGACAAAACAATGCATGCATTACGTGTTACAAAATAAATGTGGCCTGTGTGATAATCTTTAATCAAAATGTGATGTGATGCGGTGATAAATAAGATCCTACCAATACCATGAGTGTCTATGCAACACTTTATGCAAGTATATTTGTACCTACACTTTCAGTATGTCTTTAAAAAACCTAAACCAGAAAAGAACAAGACCAAACAGGTATCTCTTCTGTCTTCCCTTCCTTTCTTAGTGATTATTTATACAGCCAGATAAAAAAATATGGGTGTACCTGAGAACAAAACAGGTGATTGTGGTATTATACCAAGAACCTTACGGAGGTTCATCAATCCTAACTTTGAAACATCACAATCATCAATAATGATCCTTCCTCTTTCCAGTTCCACAAGTCTGAATAAAGCATTAAACATGCTGGATTTCCCTGCTCCTGTTCTCCCTACTACCCCAACCTTGTCACTTGGTCGAATAGTGAATGATATACCATGCAGAACGGGAGGAAGTTCAGGTCTATAACGTAAGACAACATTTTCAAATCTAATGGATCCAGCTGAGGGCCATCCCGGTGGAGGGCGATTGCCCTCAATAATTGGAGGTGCTTCAGAAGGCAATTCTATATATGTTCCAACTCTCTCTACAGCATTCAAACTATTCTCAGCCATACTAGCCAGTCTTAGAACACCAGTTAGTAAGCTTGTAATGTTCAATGCATAACTGAGAAGCAAACCCATAGTAGAGGCAAAAGCCATTTGATTCTCTGCTCTGCCATTCTGCATCACAGCAAATGTTGCTGTGAGCCAAATCATAAGCCCCCCCAAAGTCTCCAGACGAATTGCAAGCCAACGGTTTCCACTCATGTTTACAAGAGTGAATCTAATGTTGTTATCCATGGATTTCCCGTTAATGTTAGCCATGCGATCATAAGCTTTATAAGCACGTATAGTTGGTAGACCATTCAGTGCTTCTCCAAATTGTGCATACACAGGAGATCTGGAAATGGAATCCAAGCGTTTTACCTCACGGGCAGTGCTCTGTAAAAAAATGTTCGTATATATTAATCATGATAAATGGAAGTACAGGAATACTGAAGGCATCATGAATGAAGCTGGACAATGGACAAAGTAACTAATTGCAGTTCCCACTTTTAAATGTACATGTTAGATCGAAGTAATACTATCCTACTATAAGAAAACTAATCATCATTCTGAAGGACAAGAATTTAAACTTGAAATCAGGTTCTTCAGTAAGAGAAATGCATCTTTATGACAAAACTAAATTTCTTTCAAGTTCTACCAAGAGCCTTAGAATCCTGATATAGGCAGAAACATATAAAAAACACATCGTAATAATCATGAGTAAATGTTAAGGGAGGACACAATATGATGTCCAGATAAACGAATATTCATGGATATCCTCTATTAAATATGGTGTCTCATTGAATGACATCGCAATAGACACACTTCATCTCACCCTTTCTAACTGCATTGCCTCTCGTATTTTATGTTTTCCAAACCTAAACTGTGGCATTGGGATCTATAAGCATACTACCATAACATAAGTCGAATGATTATACACATAGCAAGGAATTTCAAGTTTGAAAACAAAGCTTTGGAGATAAAAGTGTCACATATCACATGGACTAATGTACTTAAGTTCACTTACATCACATAAGTCAAATGATTATACACATAGCAAGGAATTTCAAGTTTGAAAACAAAGCTGTGGAGATACAAGTGTCACATATCACATGGACCAATGTACTTAAGTTCAATTACATCACATAAGTCGAATGATTATACACATAGCTTCCTTAAAGTTCAAACTTTTGTTTCGACACCTCTATGTTCACAGTGTATAGTGTACCTGGTTACATGTTAAGTTCAATTACATCACATAAGTCGAATGATTATACACATAGCAAGGAATTTCAAGTTTGAAAACAAAGCTGTGGAGATACAAGTGTCACATATCACATGGACCAATGTACTTAAGTTCAATTACATCATAGTGGCTAATTAGAAGATTGATGTGCAATGAATTTTTTTAACACATCATACGACAACAACCACAACAAACCCATTATAATCCCAACTCTATCTGGGGTGTGGAGGGTCAACATGTACATAATTTTACCCTAGAAAACAACAAATAGCCTTTAAATCCAGCACATCATGAGATGCATAAAAAAGAAATGCCGAAAACCATGTATGAAGATAACATACCTGATAGTAAAGGTAAGCACCATAAAATAAGACCAGGAGTGGCATTATGGCCCATAAAGACATTGTGCTAACTATACCAATTAGCACAAATGTTGAAATAAGTTGGGAAACTTGGTTCATGAACATATTCACAAATGGTGCCACATTCCGGTCTATGTCCCCTAGGTCCTTAGCAAACCTATTGATAATCCTTCCAAGTGGATTCGTATGAAAGAAGACCATTGGAGCTCTTAAAATAGAGTTCAACATGGCAGAATGTAACCTTCTAGCCGCACAAAGGCTTGATGTGATCAGCCAAAATGAATTGGTAAGTGTTACCAACACCTGAAATGTCGATAAACTACTTAGCCAATTGCTTTTCCAGTTATTATTTCAACCGTATGCAATTATTTTCATCAAGTGCATCAGGATAACAGTCTATCAGAATACAAGCAATATAATCACACATCTTAAGTTAGTAAAAAAGAAATATCAAGCAATAATAATGTAGAAATCTTAAATAATCATACTTGACCAAATGATAGAACTGCATAGATCATATTGTAGAAAGTGGCACTATATCTCATTGAGCTGCTTTCATCAGTCCAAAAGCTTAACCATGTACTGCTTCCAATTCGAAGAGACTCAGTTGAGACGTAGCACATCAACAGGATCATAACTACCCATGCACCTCCTAGAGCATCCTTATACCTACAAAATGATGTTTGAAGTCATTATCATAAAAAGATATCCTAAATAATCATTGTAAAAAGTTATTAACTTCTCAGAAGAAAAAAACTCATAACCAACAAGATCAAGCACATATCATAATGTATGAACGGAAGAAAGCATTCACATGGTTAAATATATGACCAAGTTGTTTTTATGAAGTTACTGCTTTAAGAATTCTTAGTCCTTAGAAGTCCCTATTTTCAAGTGAGCAGTGGCTTTGAGCCACTACTCACTCTAAGTAACAACATTAAGGCAAGAATTAGAGTGAAGTTGTCAATGTTCAAAAATAAGGTACTCCGTATTTGTAAAGTTATATTTTTAAGTTAGGAACATTTCTAGAAATAACTTTTAGTTTACTAACAAAATGATAAGTACACGACTATTAGCATTATATGAGTCATTGTGTAATTCCTTCATAATAAAAAATTAAGGCAGGAAAATTATGACTTCAATTACATCTTAGTATGCATCCACTTATTTGATTCTCAGCTTATTGGAGATTATCTGCTTTGAAAACCATAAGCTAAACCCAGCACTAAACAGAACTTGCACAAGGCAAGGCTTTTTATGCAGGCTAAAGGCAAAATATGTGTACATTGCCGATCGAGCTAAAAGAGTCATTTTTTATAGTATTTTAGCTTTGGGTAAATAATAGACTAAATCAAATTAATACATTAAACCTCTCTTGCTTCTTACTTTCCATGGAGTTTTGGGCATTAAATATATTAATGCATCAAGGGTCTAAAGGAAACACTCTCTCTTTTTTTAATGAGTAAGTTTGTGTACATCTTGACCTGAACCGGCCCAGATCCCAACAGAGTAGGGGTTACACTAGTTTTATTGTTTTTTTAATCCGCAAAAATGACTTTTGGAAGAGGTTTTAATTCTAATTCATATTTAATATGCAACTGTTCATAAGTTTGAAGTGTTTTCAAGAATTTCAAAATTTTAACACCTTCCTAAACTTCCCAAATTCTTAACATCTTCCTAAACTCCCAAGTTTTCACAGGGATCTTCACGGAAAAGGCTATCTACTCCAAAGGGTAGAAGTCTGGAAACACGTGATTATAAGAACAAACTTGCTCACATAAAAAGATATAAACTCTACCTGTTCAAAACTTTCCAACTGACAACGCCTGTTTCCCGTTCTTCCTGTTTAATAAGAACAGATTTGCCTTCTTTTCGGTCCTTTTTCTTCTCTGCATCTCTGGAATTGATCTCACCATTAGCAGCAGGATTTAAGGTTTTCTCATCGACGTTCACAATTTCCTTTTCATCTGCATATTCCTCCATCTTTCCAGCATTTTCCATCAGTTTTTGGAATAGGTCACCGTTATTTGAGAGATATTCAAAGGTTCCTTCCTCTTTCACCATACCATCTTGCACCAATACAATTTTGTCAACCTGTGAAAGAAAATGCAGCTGGTTTGTGACCAAAACTCTGGTCTTTCCTCTTAATTCTCCTCGAATGCACTTCTCAAAAACCTGGCAATGAGAATACTAGTCATACATACACTACTAAATTTCAAATACAAAGTAGTAGCACTTAAGTGGAGCAGAACCTTCAATACAAGAATTTCATTGCTGAAAACAACTATGTAGACAGTATGTAAGAAAGATAATTTCTTTTAGTCCTAATACTATATTGCTATTAACTATGTTGTATTCAAACACACCTATTAATTTGGATGAGAATGGTTCCAAACAATTTAAAGCTGTACGAAAAGGATCTTGATCAAGTTACCCTATAAGAAATGTTGGTATGGCAAAGGCAGAACCTAGTGATAGCAAGTCACTATTCTATTAAGATACTACCCTGTTGTAACACAGCTAGGTGCTCACGCTGCTGAAAGACAACAGGGTTATTCACTGTTCTCTCCTCTGTGGAACAGAAAGTGGTAACCTTACTAGAACAGAAGAGTAGCCTACCACTATCAAAAAGATCAGGAGGTCACGGTCCTGCTATAGGAACAGAACGGTAGAGACTAAGAAGAATATTGAAAAGTAAAACGTGTGTGCAATAGAACACAAGATAGACGAGGAAAATTAAGGAAAGAAAATCTTAATCAAATTATGAAATCAGTATCTAACTCCATAAAATAATAAAGATGAAGGAAAATCTTTATCACAATATTAGTAAGAATCTTTAACTCACACTCCCTCCATCCCACAGTCCAGTATTCCTTTTTGGGTTGTCACAGCGTATATGTCCACTTTCCTTTAAAGCAACATAAAAGGAATGACAAGACTATTATACATTTATACCCTTCTGCATAACCTCTCACCCTCTCTGCCCCATTACTCTCTCTCTCTCTCTCTCAATTTTGTTATCTTCTTTGGTTTAAAGATAGTAGAAGCTTTTGGAGATGGAATTTCATCTTCCACTCTATCTACTTTGTTCTCTTCCCTTGGAGAACGAATTAAGGTAGTTTTTGGGAACTCACATTTCATTTCAATTCCAAAATTTGAATTCTTGAATTTCAAATGACAAGAGAGGCATATGGATTTCAGATTGAGTTTTGATATGAATTAGAGGAATTTGCCTCATATCCAAATCCAAATTTCTTAAGGTTCCCAAACATGAGATTTGAGGCAAATCTGGGTTTGAAATCCAAATCCAAGTTCCCAACATACCATAAGGGAATTCTAGGATATCAGGTTCTGGCAAATAGATTCATCTTCAACCCTCTCTAATTCAGTCGCTGACATGTAGTGTTTTCATACTTTTCTTTTTTATTTGTGTTTGCTGATTTTAACACTGAGAGTGGAGGAGGATATTACTGAGTTAGGCAGTGGCACGTTGGGCGGAAAATCAATGGGGGGGGTGAGTTGTGAGGCAGCGACTGGGAGTGGGGGGCTCCAAGGCGGATGGATGGTAGAGAAGGGAGTTGTGCCGCAGTGGGCGGTGGATGGTGGAGGACATGGAGGTGAGTTGTGCGGCAACAGGATGGGGGGGGGGGTTGGCGACAGATCCATAGTGGGGAGGCTGGACATTGAAGGATGAAGCCGAGGGGAAACTGTGCCATGGAAGGATGAAGCCGAGGGCTTGACATTAAAACTAAAATTAATTCTAGAGAAACTGACATATCTAAAGACAGTTCTTTCTACTGGGGGGACTAAAATGTGACAGCGCAGGGGGTACTTTCACGGTTTCCCAATGTAACACTTTGACCATTAATAACTATATTTACGTAAATAAATTTTATGAAAATATGATACTTCAAAAGTACATTGCAAGACATATCAAATGATATTAAATTTATATTATCATTCAATATATTCTTTTCAAATTCTGTGGTCAAAGTTTTTCAATTTTGACCTCAAAATGTCAAAAGATAACCTTTTTAAGACAGAGGGAGTTAGGGAAGGTAAATAGGTAATAACTGGTTTTTCAGAAGTGTGCACACAAGAAAAAGTAGAATGAAGAATAAATTGTTTGTGATAAACTAGAGTATATGGTAAAATGCAAAAGACTACCTGGCGGCCCACGTCAGCATCTAGTGCACTTAAGGGGTCATCGAATATGTAAACCTCAGAGTCCGAATAAACAGCTCTAGCCATAGAAACTCTTTGCTTCTGCCCTCCACTAATGTTGACTCCTCTTTCCCCAATTTCAGTAAGATCACCACCCTAAAATTTATTAGTTAACATTTACAAAATGTTCACGTAAAAAAAACTTACGATGGAGAGCTATATATATATATATATATACACACACACACACATATACGTATGTATGTATATGTGTGTGTGTGTGTGTATAAATGTTTATTTACATGTTTTCATTGATTTTATTTAATAATATAAAATATTCTTGGCACCTCTCATTTTGTAGATTTTTTGGTGTAGTTTTTAAAAATGTAAGTTATATTTTTTATTTCTATACTAGTTTGTAAATAAAATAAATTTTTAAAAGTCATGGGTTTTACACATTGTTCGGAGAATGCAATCTAGTGTGTGCGCGCCCACACACACACATACATGTGTGTGTGTATTTATTATACACACACACGTAGTATATAATATTAATAGTAGAGTAGTAATAACAAGCCACACTATAAACAGTGTGCATAAATACTTACAGGGAGAAGCTCAAGGTCATGTTGTAATGCAGTCACATCGATCACATTAGCATACCTTGAAGGTGAAAATTGAGAACCAAATAGTATGTTGTCACGCACCTATAAAATATACTAAGCATTTCAATGGCTGAAGATGGGGAAAGATTCTGTTGAAGTGTCAATAGCTATTATACAAGGACCACAAATTTAATAACTAATGTAACCTACCCATAAAAGTACATCAGTATAAATTGTATGGATGTACTGAACTGGTTAGTATCAAATTTAGAGACTTAATTCTGGTACAAACTACAAAGTCACATACTGTTGCATTGAAAATCCATGAGATTTGTGGCACATAAGCAACAGTTCCTCTGATAACAACACTTGAATCCGTAACAGCAGGAATTTCCCCAAGCATTGCCGAGATGAGTGATGTCTTTCCTTCTCCAGTACCACCTACAATTGCTACTAAGCTACCAATTGGAATATCCAAATTGATATTTGATAAAGTTGGTTTCTCTCCCTATCATTTGCACGGAAATATTGTTTAGCAATCTTTCACTATATGTTCCAACAAAAAATCTCACTTATTTTAAGGATAAAGAAGCATTTACAGAAAAACAACTAAAACAAAAGGTATGTGTTCTTTTATTTACTGATTAAGAATAATTACACACAAATTCAGCACATAAATAATGAATATGAGTACTATAAATCTGCATCTCTTCAGTGAATAATGTGAACCTAGTGGGTCTTCAGCAGCCAAGGAAAAGCATGATGCACAACATGCTCTGCTCCTCCCATTGAGCTTATTTCAAATGCACTGTTGTAATTTCACTGTAATTCATTTCCCAGCCTCCTCAATTCCTTCACTCAATGGATAAATAATGAGGAATGAAGAGAGATTTTCCGAGGACGAAAAAATCAGAGGGAAATGGTGGAAGGCTGGTGGTTCTCACTTTCTGATCCTAGGTGTTGATGGCTACAAAATGAGTTAGAGTTTGGGCTTGGGTGGTTAGAAGATGGCGTGTTTGATTTCAAAATACACATAACCCACAATAGTTAGAACCTCAGAATTCAAACTAATTGGACACGATTTTTAAAGGGGGTTCTTTACCATGAAACACAAAAGTAGGGAGAGCAATGTGTTTTGAACAGCTCTTTAATTCATCGCAGTCCCAAGATATTTCACATGCAAGTACAAAAAAAGACCACTCTTTTTAACTAAGCATTGTGAACTTAGCTTTCTTTATTAGTGATTGGGGAGCATTAGGACTATAAGGTTACTCTTAGTATAATACTGAATTATCTGATAAGAAGTAATATAAATAAAAAATGAAACAGCCGAGATTCGGAACTGCCCCAAATAAAGGGCTGGAGTTTCAGACAATGAAAACCAGTCCAGAAAGACGGAAAACCATAAGCATCTTAACATGTGAATACAACAATACTCTTCTATTTTGAAGGAAACAAAAAGCAAAACAAACCTTTGATTCCCACGAAAAGCTACCATTCCGGATTGAAATGGCTGGAAAACATGGATCAAGAGGTGGGTTGGGCAGAAGTACTCTCTCTTCAGCTAAAAGAAGTTCCTCAAGACGTTTCAAAGATACATTTGCATTAACTACCTGTGAAATCAGAAAACCATTCCTGAGTGATAAATGAACAAGTGTGGATAATGGCTCAGTCATTTATTTACCATCCCAAATGATAGTATCATTTGCACAAAGCACGACAAGGTGCACCGCATAATAGAATACACTGAAGGAAAGATTACACTCCCCCAGCCCTGAATTTTTCTGCTAGTTTTCCTTTTACATTGTCCCAATTTTTTAAGGAAAGATTGGTGCGGTTGATATTATTTCTCTCTTTCTGAATAGACCACAACCACACTCACATTTTCTTGATAAGCTTGTCAAGTCAAACTAGGAAGAAAGTTTAGAACTAGGGGTGGGGTGGCGACCATAATATGTGCTAAAGGTCTCACACTGGCTAAAAAAACTTTGTTTAGTTTTTCACTACACGCAATCAAGAGTATCAAGTTTATTGAAACAACAATATCAAACCCAATATAATCCCAACTCCGTTGGGGTTTGTGGGGGTCAAGATGTACACAACATTACCCCTGTAAAAAAGAGAGGCTGTTATAGTTAGACCCTTCGGATGAGTTACTGCAATTGCTTCCAAAAACTTCATAAAAAGTAAGAAGCAAGGAATGTTTAATGTGAAATTTTGATTTTGTCAATTATTTACCCAAAGCTAAAACATTGTCAAAAAGACTCTTTTAACTCCATTGGCAATGGACGAAATCAAGTGTTGAATAGTATAATAAAACTAAAATCGTGTTTTGGTCACAGACATATCATAACACCACTAAAGCATGGTTGAATTAGTCTATTACATTTTTAAGGATCCACTAGCATATGAATCACATACTATGGAATAGGAGCAGAACTCAATATGATAAATGGAATTAGGAAGTCTATTCCACTTAGGGCCCGTTTGGTGAGCAAACAAGATATGAGTTCTGATATCTGGTGTTTCGTGAAGACTAAAAAGATTTCAGATTTGATATCTCTGGATATCACAAATCCTTCATAATGAAGGGTTTTGATATCTCCTGAATATGGGAGACATCAATATGGGGATTTGACATCTCCATCAACAATCAACCACCATCTGTCACTGGCTACTGCAGTCACCGCTAGTCACCCTCCTAGCCGACCACCCTACCTATCACTAGTTAAATCATTATTTCAAATTTCTCCAAACTTCATTTCAGATTTTAGATTCCATATCATTTCTCCCAAATTTCAGAGCCCATATCATATCTCCAAAACTCACTAAATCGGTACTTAGTGATTAAATAAACAAGAAAAAGGAGAAAGCCAAGACTTTTGGTAGTTGGCAACTGGACAACTGTTTTTTATCTCATGTGTCAAATTAACATGGGATTAGCATGGATTACACATCCAGTCGACATTGTTCTAAAACCAAAGAATCCCTTAAAAGATAATAATGGAACATTCTATAACTTATGTTGGTGTTTTAGATTTGTTGTTTTGGGTTCTAACTCTTAACTTCCAAGCAGAAATAGGTGATTAGCTATTGGACCACAGCTGCTCAAGTTTTCAACTCTATTAGAATAAGCAAGCAGAAATTCTGTAGAGATAAATCTACCCAATAACCAAAGTGTCACTAAATATTGGGTTGGTTGCATTTGCAAAAAGAGAACCTGTGTTATAATGTTAGGAAGCATGAAGAGCGGAAAGCGTAGCACTGCAAACAAGGATAGAGAAGTAAATGCCCTTGCAGGTGTTAGGTCCCCACCAAGTAAAGTGAACACCCAGAACGAGACGACAATAACAAAAACTGGAATGCTGTTCAATATGAAACTGTTCAACTGCAGAAAACAATATATAATGTCAAGTCATGCCAGGAGGCCCTGGACATAAGGGTCAAAAAATTTAAAAAAAAAATAGCAAGGTTATGAAGATTGCAAGCTCTTTAAGTGTACGATGCTGGAAAAGGGGAGTTAGAATGCATGCATAACTGTTGTAGTTCCAAAGTCATGGAAGAAAAATTTCTAAATAGCCCTAAACAGTACAGAAAGTTAGAGAGAGATTGATAACATACTGCTCCAAGCATTTGCGCCTTGCGAAACCAGCTTAACTCCTCATTTCGAACCCCCTGAACCTTTGATTGGAAACTATCTTCCCATGCATAGCATCTGAAGCATAAGACCAAAATAGAACAATATAGAAAGGTTATTCTTACAAAGGTGATTCACGGGCAGGCTTTCAATGGGATGCATACTTTACTGTGTCCATAGCAGCCAGTATTTCATTCATCAGTCCAATTCTCTTGTCAGTGCGCTGCAGTCCCTCTTTTGTCAATTTCTGCATTCTGCTTATTACTAAAGTCTGCATTAACAAAGTTCTAGTCATGCTTCATAAGC